AAAATGGCCCTGACAGTCCGGAGAACAATATGGAAGTCTCCCCAGCACTGAAGGGCAAGAGCCACCTTGTTCTTGGAGCCCAAATATCCTCCAAGAAACTGCGTGCCTCAGCCTTCAGTGCATTGCGTGTCGGGGCCTCAGGCTCCTGAACATCCTCAAGCCAAACCCTCCTATGGATCCTGTGGGGCAAGATTGACACCAGGAGGCAATAGACCCCGGCCTCATGATCAGGATGGGAAAGGGGCCGCAGCTGCTGAGGATGGAATTCCAAGAGGCAGCCGGAGAAGATTGGGAGGCAGCAAGAAGGGGTGGTGGCTACCTGAACGAACCCCCTGGGGGCCAGGATACCATCGCTCCCAGAGCTGGTGAAGGGAACAGGGGAGCAGGAGAAAGTGGAAGCTGCAGCTGACATCAGTGCTGCAGCAGGGGAGTGAGTCACTGCCACGGGAGGTTTTACCTTCCTGGTGGGGCTCTTGCACTTTTGTTCCCTAGCCCTTTCTGTTCTTCAGGGGGCCTTCTTAATGATGACAGTGGCAGAAGGTGCTGCTGCAGGAGTGGGGGGGTCCCAGAGTTCTCACCCGTGTCTACTGCCACGGTTTGTGTGGCAGGCAACCTGGCAGCCTCAGAGGGGCCAACATTGGTAAGGGTGGACATGAGGGGAAAGGGCAGCAGGGACATCACACAACAGCTCCTCCATTGAGATAGTTGTCATGGGCAGAGAGAGAAGGCCAAGAACAACAATTGAGAAAGGAAGAAAGTGTCAGGGAAAGATCAAGGGGAGGAAGGAAGAAGGTTCATCTCTTCTCCTCCTCCTCCCCACCCCTCTCCGCTAGACTAGAAGTGGGGTGGAAGGGCAGCCATACAGAAGGGAAAGCAGTTAGTAAAATGTCAATCAATGTACAAAAGACTGCAAAGATTTCACCGCTGGGACTGTCACACAAGCTGGGAGTCTTCCAGGAATTCAGTTGCATCTGTGACTGGTACATCCTAACACCAATCTCTGAAAACACCTAACTTCAGTTCTTTTTGCTTACAAGAAGGTCTGGTTTTTTTGCAGTACTATATTTACCCCGTAAAATTCTACTCCATGACTTTAACAAAGAGTATTGTTTTTTGTCCTGAAGCAGCCTGAAAGATTCTGTTACAAAATGGTTCTCCACTACAATGCTGATGGGATACACCATTTTACCATTCAGAAAGTTGAGCTTCTGGTATCATAGACGGCTTGCACTTTACTTGTACAAAAGGAAGAGGAAAAACCTGTGCAACAGGTTATGGGAACATTTTATGTGAGGTTTTGTTTCATTACTATGTTCAGATAGAATCCGAAACCTGAAACTCTTACTGAAAAAGGCAAGCTCGAGCATTCAGCTTCTTCAAGCCTGTTCCTGCAGAATACTAGCCACTTCAGAGAGGTGTTAAACACCCTGCTTCACAGTAACATTAGATTAGTTCCTGATTTGATTTTGTTAGATAGCCTTATCCCTTTACTTAATCTTAAAAGGTCTATTACATCAATAGGCTGCTTTGTCTTATTTAAGACTTTTAAAAGCTAGTGTTAAAAACCTAATTAAAACAAGTTAAGAAAATTTGCTCTAGCTTTTTAAGTTACAAGCACCAGACATCCACCAAGGAGTGTTAATCTGTTATCTCCCTGAGGATATCCATGGCAGCCTGGCACTGCTTGGTCCCTGTGTGGTCCTGTTTCTCGAGGGTGCAATTGAAATCCTTGCCCAGGACCAGGCAGGCACTTATGAGGATCCATGGAGCTGAGAAGGCAGACACCTGCTGGAAGAAGCAGAGCCTCTCTGGGCCAGACGTCAGGTCATAGATGTTAAGGAGGTGTAATGTCAGCCCCTCCATCCAAACCTGGAGGTACAGCAGGTGACCCTGCATGACCTTGGTGGTTCCCAGCACCTCGGGTTGAACATTCGGGGAGAACAGGTTTGCCACCCTGGCTTAATAGCTAAACAAGTGGCTAAAAAAGACCCTGATCCCCCCCTGCAGCCACCAACTAGCCTCGGCAGCCAGAACGGTGTGTGTCTCCTGCAGGAATACAATGGAGTACCCCCCTTCCTGAAGGACAGAGAGCATCCGACAGCTGTGGAGATGTAGCTTACAGCCCCGGGTGTTCAGAGTGGCAAAGATTAGCAGTGACCTTGGGAGGGCTGGGGAAGATCCTTGCAGGCAGGAGTGCTGGCAGCCTGCATCGGACCCCGCAGCAAACTGTGACCAAACCCAAATGTGAGCAAGGTATCGTGGAAGCAGCACATCCGCTGGTAAGCCACAGCCTCCCTCCATCCCTTTGCCCTCCCCTAAAATGGCCCTGACAGTCCGGAGAACAATATGGAAGTCTCCCCAGCACTGAAGGGCAAGAGCCACCTTGTTCTTGGAGCCCAAATATCCTCCAAGAAACTGCGTGCCTCAGCCTTCAGTGCATTGCGTGTCGGGGCCTCAGGCTCCTGAACATCCTCAAGCCAAACCCTCCTATGGATCCTGTGGGGCAAGATTGACACCAGGAGGCAATAGACCCCGGCCTCATGATCAGGATGGGAAAGGGGCCGCAGCTGCTGAGGATGGAATTCCAAGAGGCAGCCGGAGAAGATTGGGAGGCAGCAAGAAGGGGTGGTGGCTACCTGAACGAACCCCCTGGGGGCCAGGATACCATCGCTCCCAGAGCTGGTGAAGGGAACAGGGGAGCAGGAGAAAGTGGAAGCTGCAGCTGACATCAGTGCTGCAGCAGGGGAGTGAGTCACTGCCACGGGAGGTTTTACCTTCCTGGTGGGGCTCTTGCACTTTTGTTCCCTAGCCCTTTCTGTTCTTCAGGGGGCCTTCTTAATGATGACAGTGGCAGAAGGTGCTGCTGCAGGAGTGGGGGGGTCCCAGAGTTCTCACCCGTGTCTACTGCCACGGTTTGTGTGGCAGGCAACCTGGCAGCCTCAGAGGGGCCAACATTGGTAAGGGTGGACATGAGGGGAAAGGGCAGCAGGGACATCACACAACAGCTCCTCCATTGAGATAGTTGTCATGGGCAGAGAGAGAAGGCCAAGAACAACAATTGAGAAAGGAAGAAAGTGTCAGGGAAAGATCAAGGGGAGGAAGGAAGAAGGTTCATCTCTTCTCCTCCTCCTCCCCACCCCTCTCCGCTAGACTAGAAGTGGGGTGGAAGGGCAGCCATACAGAAGGGAAAGCAGTTAGTAAAATGTCAATCAATGTACAAAAGACTGCAAAGATTTCACCGCTGGGACTGTCACACAAGCTGGGAGTCTTCCAGGAATTCAGTTGCATCTGTGACTGGTACATCCTAACACCAATCTCTGAAAACACCTAACTTCAGTTCTTTTTGCTTACAAGAAGGTCTGGTTTTTTTGCAGTACTATATTTACCCCGTAAAATTCTACTCCATGACTTTAACAAAGAGTATTGTTTTTTGTCCTGAAGCAGCCTGAAAGATTCTGTTACAAAATGGTTCTCCACTACAATGCTGATGGGATACACCATTTTACCATTCAGAAAGTTGAGCTTCTGGTATCATAGACGGCTTGCACTTTACTTGTACAAAAGGAAGAGGAAAAACCTGTGCAACAGGTTATGGGAACATTTTATGTGAGGTTTTGTTTCATTACTATGTTCAGATAGAATCCGAAACCTGAAACTCTTACTGAAAAAGGCAAGCTCGAGCATTCAGCTTCTTCAAGCCTGTTCCTGCAGAATACTAGCCACTTCAGAGAGGTGTTAAACACCCTGCTTCACAGTAACATTAGATTAGTTCCTGATTTGATTTTGTTAGATAGCCTTATCCCTTTACTTAATCTTAAAAGGTCTATTACATCAATAGGCTGCTTTGTCTTATTTAAGACTTTTAAAAGCTAGTGTTAAAAACCTAATTAAAACAAGTTAAGAAAATTTGCTCTAGCTTTTTAAGTTACAACTCATTAGTCACTTAAAAACCACACAGTCAGTATGTTCCATAGCTATCCGGTGTTTAAATATTTTAAAATCACTACTAAAGTCACATTAAGTATATTAGTTATTTTTATAGATGTTAAGGTCAAGCAGGATTATTTATATCATCTTGGCCTGATCTTCTGCATGGTACAGACCATAAAATTTCACCTAGTGGCTCCGGCCACTGGAGGGAATTATTTTTTTAAATCCTTTTCTGCACTGCTAATAACAATATATCAGCATAATTAATCCTCAATACATACTTGTAAAACAGATACATTATGAATCACTATTCCAGTATTACAAGTGGGGAAACTGAGCTACAGAGAGGTTAAATGACATGCCCACAACTATAGAAGATGTCATTGGAAAAGAAAGATTAGGGCTCACCTCCTAGCTTCCAGGCCTGGCTCAGCCCCCTGGACTACAGTGCCAGGATATCCATTAAAGATTCCCCGCATCTCAGAAGTTCTGTTTCATTCCACTATGTAATGCTGGACAACCATTATTATACTGCATATAGTCATTTACTGAAAAGCGTATTAAGCAATACAAAAAAAGCTGTAGAATTCTTCGTCTCTCAAGTTTCAGGACGTGAAACAAGCTGCAGTAACTTGCTTTCACATTCCGCTAATATTCATAGAACTATGCCGGAAGGCGAGTGACAGTAGCCTCATCAGCACTCCAGAAAACCCCTCCAAGAGGGTCTTCTGTGACTGCACCCTGTCATACTAATATTTAGTGTATTGGTTTTTTTCTTTGAAATTGAATACTTAAATATTGTAAAGGGACCTGGCCATTAAGTGGGCATGTAATGTTTGAATAATCTTTTCTATAAATCCAATAAATAAAATTATAGTGCAAACAATGAGCCACCTTCTGATATTCTTAGTCATGTTCAGAAGCAATTTCCATTGACCTCAAATTGGCCTACTCATGAAGTAAGGTGACATTCAATATAAGTAAGGAGTAGGGCTGCCAGTGCTCTGGGATAACATAGTTTAAGAAAATTACATCATTTGGGGGATAAAAAAATCTCCTGGAATAGTGCTAGTCAGAGTTGGCAATCCTAGTAAAGATATGAAAATCTGGTCCATAATAAACACTCTGTTCTACTGAGACTTCTAAATGGCAACTACTGTACAAACATTTATGTTTTTATTATGTAATTAGTGGTTAACCTTGAAGAGTGACTCATGCTTTTTGTTTCCCTCAGGCATAATCCTTGGATTTTGTCTTCGACCATACCAAATGAGCTACCGGGAAGTCAAGTACTTTTCCTTTCCAGGAGAACTACTGATGAGAATGTTGCAGATGCTGGTCCTACCACTCATCGTATCCAGTTTAGTTACAGGTACAAAAGCCTAATCAATTTTTTAAAAATTTGCTCTATTCTCCATGAATTTGTTAAAGATAATAGCACCAACTCATAAAACAATATGCACTCTATGATCTATAGTAGACAGACATGGCATTGCAAAGATATACAACAAAATAATACTAACCTGCAACATGAGTCATTTACAGATAGTGTCACAAAAAGTAGATCCACACTTCAAAAAACAGCGAAAGGATCCAAAAGCTGGGGTTTTCAAATGCCAAAGTCATTGTAACTACACAAGAGCACACATTTACTATAACACTGCAGTTGGTTGAACTCCTCCTTTTCCTGAGACATGTGATTCTGTCTACAGCTGCATCTCACACTCCACTCCTCCACTGCCTACCCCCTCGTAAGACACCAAACTCACGCCCTGGGCTCTGGTTGCCCGTATGGACACCAGGGAACTGACATTATAGAGCTAGAGCTGCTGAAAAGCAGTGCCAGGCTCATGGGCCTCATGCTGTGCTTCATGGTGCAGTTCATCCAAACCGCCCATGTGCTGCTTCAGCACAATAACAACCAGCCCAAACCACAGGACCTTTTCACCTAGACCTCCTGCAATGAGGTTTACCAGCTAATTCAAATTAGGAGTTTTAAATCAGAATCTCGTTTCACTGCTGCGTGTAGACACGGGCAGTTACTTCGGGCTAGTCAATTTCTAAAATGGTGACCGGCTGGGAACATGCAAATAGAGCACGGGATATTTAAATATTATTGATTTGCAATTCCGGTTGCCCTCATTAGCCTCCCGAGATTGATGTAGGGGGCTAGTGTAGACGTACCCTAAGACATAAATGAAGTTTATTTTCTGAAGGTAACAATTCTAGAGTCTTCAAAACTTCCACATACTTTGGTTTTGCTCCAAATCCTGCTGAGGACAATGGAAAGACTATCGTTGACATCAGTGAGCTTTAGATCAAGCTTTTATAGTACTGCAGACCTTAACTGGAATCAGAAATCAAAATAATCTCCCTTGTCTGCTGCAGCACCTCCAGGACTCCTATAGAACCAGCAGGCTCAGCAAACATACAGGATGGTGGCTAACACCAGACAACACAGTTATTTCATGATCATAACAGTGTGCTCAGCAGTGTACAAACATTCTTACGGTTGACCTGAACAAGTACTCCTAAGAAAACTCAGATTACCAACACCACTGCAATTTGCCATTAATGAGCCACATAGAGTTTCCTATAATTGCATAGAAGGTCTTTTCTAACAAGCATTTCCAAATTCTGAATTATGATGGCTATTCCTCACTCTCTTTCACATTAATAGCTATGAATGGGACACATCCAGCTCAGCTTCATTAACACAAGTCCTACAATTAACCGGTAACTGCTTTTGCTGAGATTATATATATAATATCTTGACTATATTATTTCCACTCCAGCTCATCTGATGAAGTGGGGTTTTACCCATGTTAGCTCTCGATTCTATATATTTTTGTTAGTGTCCAAGGTGCCACAGGACTACTCATTTTTAAAGTTACAGACTAACACAACCACCCCTCAGACTTTTCACTCTCCCAAGACACTTATTGTATCCACTTTTCTACTGCCCCACAAAATTATAGCATAGGGAATGAATTAGACAGAATGAGAATGTACGAACTTTGTTTTTCCTTTCTCTGACTGTTAAAGAACATTCAACCTGAAGCAGCCAGGACAAGCCTGATTATGATTCTGTCTGTTTGATAACTACATGGCAAGTTCATAAGTAGTATTTTGGGGAACTGGTCCTCCATTGCTATGGGCTTGCTTTAACTCAGACAGTCAAAGGATATCTGTTATGTTTTGTGTGTGCATGTGTTAATATCATGCATTCTTTTCATAGGTATCCCTTTCTTCCCATGCTAAAATATCCTATCATTGCCAGGTGACAATGAATGTGCCCAGATTACAAGGTGACATGCAACACCAATGTCTAAAGAAGGAATGACACATTTAGCTATAAACAGCATGTCTAACTCTTGGCAATATTTCACTGACATGTAATATTATTTATTATATTTATTATAGTAGAATTTAGGCGTCCAAACCAAAACTTAATCCTCATTGTGCTAGACATTGTAAAAACAAAAACTGAGGGACAGTCCTGCCCCCCAAAGAACTTATAATCTAAATAAATAAGACAGACAAAAGGTGGAGTGGTAAAAAGAGGTACAAGAAGTGAAATACTTAAAAAACAACAATTTGCTTTGGAATTTTGGAACAGCTAAAGTAATCAGGTAAAGTAATCTAATAGCACTTTAAAGACTAACAAAACATGTAGATGGTATCATGAGCTTTCGTGGGCACAACCTACTTCTTCAGATGACAGGAGTGTTGGAAGTCCAGATCCAAGAATAAGTAAACATTGACTTCCTGACATTAAACAGCAGATCAAAGGCAAAACTGAAAATAGAACCACATCCTCCAGACTCCTCATCTGGATGCACTCTCCTCTCGAAATGCTGGCAAATTCTCTTAACCCAAAGATACTTATGTCACAATACAATGTAGAAGGTTGGGTATGGAAACGGTACCTCACATAAGTAAAACAATACAATGCCTAATCTTTACTTAGTCTAGAAAATTAAAAGAGGAAAAACACAAGCAACCAGGCAAACAATCATCCTGATTACTTTAGCTGTTCCAAAATTCCAAAGCAAATTGACTGCATGAACAAAAGCGATGGGCAAACAGACAGGTTTGGAACATAAGATCATATATGTTCATATTATTCAAGTAAATAAAGGGAGCATTCATCTGTCACTCTGACAAATAGAGAGCAATTCCTATATTAGTATGTGGTGTAGTTTTCATTTTGTAGTTTATTGTATGATTTTAATGGTGCTTGGTCTTTGCTCAGAACCAGCACTAGAATGAGTTCTGTGCTCATTTCTCATTTACGCAAATTGGCTAGAGTTGAAGAGCTATTTTCTGTGCTGGCACAAACAAACAAAACCGTTTACATCCTAATCAATGGACATAAATCAGATATACATAAAGGAAACATACTGAAACCTATTGGGGAACACTTCACATCAATGGAATTATATCTATGATAGAATTTGTCCTGGTCTGTCTTAGTACCAATTCTGTTCCTCTCTGTCCAAATTGGTTTATATTACTAATTCCATTCAATCACACATAAGTATTAATTTAGTTTTTGATACCATTACCTTTGGCAAGAGGCAATAGATATGCCTATAAGGTGAAATGGTATGAAATTCCACTCCAGGAGTTCCTTTTGATGACACCAAATCAAAATGTCATTTGACTGCACATCCAGTAATTCGATCTGTGCCGTCAAATGCCAGCAGTACCCCACTGCGATATATATTGGACAAACTAGACAGTCTCTACAGGAAAGAATCAATGGACATAAATCAGATTTACATAAAGGAAACATACAGAAACCTATTGGGGAACACTTCAATCTTCCAAATCACTCTTTAAAAGATCTTCAGGTCTTGTCACAAACCAGTTCTACAAACCAGATCAACAGGGAAGCATTGGAATTAGAGTTCATCCGCAAATTCAATTCACGTGCTAATGGACTCAATCGTGATGAAAGTTGGTTGGGATACTACCAACTTAACAGCCATTGAAAGTACAAACAGCTCTTTGTGTGGACTCCCATGTCAGGAAGGATACTATCCATTGACTTTGATTCTTATCTGCTTCATTTTAACTACCCAATCTTCAGATATTTACTGATTCCCTCTAGCTCTCTGTCTCCAAGACCCCTTCCTTTTTTCCCTTCCACCCTCCCGTTCCCCTCTGCTATTTATTTTGGGTGTGCACATCTTAAACTCACACTTTCGGTCATCTGAAGAAGTGGGCTGTGCCCACCAAAGCTCATGATAGCATCTACATGTTTTGTTAGTCTATAAATTGCTACCAGACCATTTGTTGTTTTTTTCTGTAACAGACTAACTTGGCTACCCCCTGAAGCACATGTCCTTGTGACAGGGCACTATCAGCAGCACCCTAATCACTGACATTGCCTGAAGATGGCTTCAGGCCCAGCAGGAGGCAAATAAATAGCTTCTGGGAATCCTTCGTGCTCCCAGCTGGTGAGGGGTAGGGGCAAAGGGATATGTGATGCAAGCTGCGTACTTTCCCCTCTCTGCTTGATCCTGAGAGGAAGGGGGAAAAGAGCAAGAAGCATCTTGGTATGCATGACTGCAGCTCCCCCTACCCTCTCAAAATGGCACCCTGGAGTAACAGAGACGCCCCGTCACAGTCCTCTAGTAAAGGTCTATCATTCAGATTGTCATAAATATCCTAACACATGGATACGAGTGTTAGTAGAAAATGTAAAGGAACATACTCCCCTTCCTAAGTAATAACATTCTTGAGTGCTAGAGGAGGCAAAAAACTCCATGATGTTCACCTTGTGGAGTTTACTAGGCATCATTCCCTCTAACACGGAAAGCAGGGAACCTCATTCCCCAGATCTATAGAGTCAGAAATCATACTGCATGAATTTCAACGCTTCAATGTAGCTCTGAGGGTTTGCTCTCCACCTGGCAACAAGTTTCCTTGAAGAAATCATACTACCATTTTCTAAGGACCCCTGTGTCTGTTTAATATCAGCCACAACAATTAAGACTGCTTTAAAACAGATTTTTTAACTTCCTCCTTGGTTTCCATATATAAAGCCACAGATCAAACAGAGAATAGTACCTGCACCATAACTCCATAAATAACCAGACCCAGGGACACGAGTGGAATGGCATCCACAGAAGAAATCATACTACCATTTTCTAAGGACCCCTGTGTCTGTTTAATATCAGCCACAACAATTAAGACTGCTTTAAAACAGATTTTTTAACTTCCTCCTTGGTTTCCATATATAAAGCCACAGATCAAACAGAGAATAGTACCTGCACCATAACTCCATAAATAACCAGACCCAGGGACACGAGTGGAATGGCATCCACAGA